TCGCGGCCCGTTTTTAATAAAGAAGGCAATAGAGACCCCCGTCGCTTTTTCTTACAACAAAAAGCAGAAGTAAATCCTTTTTCTTGAATACTACCCCCCCATGTGTGGCATACTGCGTAGCCACACAGGCCCTGCAGGGCCCGTCCCGGACATTCAGCCTAAAAGCCTAAAACTTAGGGCTTACAGGCCCCGTTCATTTCAGCCTGGATGCTGAAAAACGAGGGCCTGCAGGCCCTACCTCGTTTCAGCCTATTTCTGGGTCTTTTCAGACCCAGAGTTTTCAGCCTGAAACGGAGGGCCATTTTCAGGCCCTCATTGTTTCGACCTGCCCCTAAGACTCAGGCACGGAAACAGGGATGCGGAACAGGCCCARAATAGCCTGTTCCTCACATGCTCGAGCAGGAGCTGCAGCTGCAGCCCCTGCCTCCCTTCGGCAGGCTCAAGAGGCACACCCGTAGTACATAGGAGGKTCCCATGCACTTCACGGGTAGGTAGTGTTCAGTAGGCAYGAGTAGTCTTCAGGATTCGGGCAGCACTCAGGAGGAGCGCTGCAGTAGTCTTCAGCGCTAGGCAGTAGTGGTAGCGCTAGCTGTAGTCTTCGGCGCTGGGCGCCATAGCTGTAGCTGTAGTCTTCAGCGCTGGGCGCTGGTAGGTAGTAGATCGTAGAGTGGGAGAGAGACTGGCGGAGGCCAGTGTTACTTATCTGTTGCGCCATCGCTCCAGCTCCATCTTCGTGGTACCTGCATCAAGGCGCCAACTTCACAGGTTAGTACTGGACACAGAGAGAGAGAGAGAGTTCTTCTTCTTCCTCTTCTAAGTCCACCTTCTCATCTCACCCTCTCGCCACCTGACTTCTCAGACTACGACAGAGAGAAACAGAGTTGTGACTTGAGACTTGACGACATTGGATCCAGACTTGACATTTGGGATTCAGACATTCTGACGAGGGACTATTTGGGCTTGTGCYGAAGACTTGGTGTTGACRACATTCCCATCTTCCCCCTCCTCTTCGTCTATCCCCTTCCTCCWCKTCTGTGCATGTTCTGGGCTGGCGCTGTCTTCCTGTGTGAAGCGCCAGACCCATTCACACTATGAAACGATGATGATGATGTATGTTCAGGGCTGCATTACAACATTGATTGTGCGGATCACTGGTATCTAAGTCTTCCGCTGTGTTATCTTGTACTTTGTATTGAAAGGTCGGTTCTTGTTCTGGTCTGCGAAGCTGCCCTATGCAGGCAGGCTGGGGTGCGCGCGGGCGCTAAGTGGTGAAGAGGGCGCTGCGGTGGCAGTGGGGGCACGGCGGCCATTGCCGGGTCGCGCGTGCGGGTGCAGGTGTTGGTGATGGTGGTCTTTGGGTAGGAGGCGCATGCAGAGGTGGGGAATCGAGGTGTAATGAGGGGAGGAGAGAGCACGTACCTGG